TGGGATTTTGATTGGCGTCCCCAGGCACTCAGAAGAGGTCTGGGATTTGTTTCTCTTCGGTGGTGCAGTGTGGGGGAGGGGGGGGTGCGTTGGGGATGAGGAATCGATTTTGTTCCGAACATCGAAATGGAATCGATTCCCTGTATCATTGCGCTGATTCCATGTGAATCGTTGTTTCGTAGCGGTGCTGGAGAAATCCGATGAGCTATGAAGCTCTCCCCCCCCCCACACACATCCAGTCAGGGTGGGTCAACACGTTACAACAACACACACGATCTGAGTGCGACGTAGAGGAAATGTCAACAAATCACTTTGAAAAAATACGAATTAAACTAAACTATGTTTTTTTTTAATCTTACCAGGTAAAGTCCTCTGAGCTGTTAAACGTATCTTTCAGAAGCGACTTGGGCACAAATGACAGCTCCAAGTGGCTGATCAGCGGATTCCTCCAATCTCAAGACACAGTCTGATTCTGGGTAGTCGCAAAAGGAGTTTGTGTGAGAGGGCGCGTTGAACTTCCTTCGCACCGTACGGAGCCAACCGTGTCAATCGGAGGTGCAGTGTTAGTCTATGGGTAGTGTTAGTCTATGGGTAGTGTTAGTCTATGGGTAGTGTTAGTCTATGGGCAGTGTTAGTCTATGGGTAGTGTTAGTCTATGGGTAGTGTTAGTCTATGGGTAGTGTTAGTCTATGGGTAGTGTTAGTCTATGGGTAGTGTGAGTCTATGGGTAGGTTAGTCTATGGGTAGTGTAGTCTATGGGCAGTGTTAGTCTATGGGTAGTGTTAGTCTATGGGTAGTGTTAGTCTATGGGTAGTGTTAGTCTATGGGTAGTGTTAGTCTATGGGTAGTGTTAGTCTATGGGTAGTGTTGAGTCTATGGGCAGTGTTAGTCTATGGGTAGTGTTAGTCTATGGGTAGTGTTGGTCTATGGGCAGTGTTAGTCTATGGGTAGTGTTGAGTCTATGGGCAGTGTTAGTCTATGGGTAGTGTTGAGTCTATGGGTAGTGTTGGTCTATGGGCAGTGTTAGTCTATGGGTAGTGTTAGTCTATGGGCAGTGTTAGTCTATGGGTAGTGTTGAGTCTATGGGTAGTGTTAGTCTATGGGCAGTGTTAGTCTATGGGTAGTGTTGAGTCTATGGGTAGTGTTAGTCTATGGGTAGTGTTAGTCTATGGGTAGTGTTAGTCTATGGGCAGTGTTAGTCTATGGGCAGTGTTAGTCTATGGGTAGTGTTAGTCTATGGGCAGTGTTAGTCTATGGGCAGTGTTAGTCTATGGGTAGTGTTAGTCTATGGGTAGTGTTAGTCTATGGGCAGTGTTAGTCTATGGGCAGTGTTAGTCTATGGGCAGTGTTAGTCTATGGGTAGTGTTAGTCTATGGGCAGTGTTAGTCTATGGGCAGTGTTAGTCTATGGGCAGTGTTAGTCTATGGGTAGTGTTAGTCTATGGGTAGTGTTAGTCTATGGGTAGTGTTGAGTCTATGGGTAGTGTTGGTCTATGGGCAGTGTTAGTCTATGGGTAGTGTTAGTCTATGGGCAGTGTTAGTCTATGGGTAGTGTTGAGTCTATGGGTAGTGTTAGTCTATGGGCAGTGTTAGTCTATGGGTAGTGTTAGTCTAGGTAGTAGTGTTAGTCTATGGGCAGTGTTAGTCTATGGGCAGTGTTAGTCTATGGGTAGTGTTAGTCTATGGGCAGTGTTAGTCTATGGGCAGTGTTAGTCTATGGGTAGTGTTAGTCTATGGGTAGTGTTAGTCTATGGGCAGTGTTAGTCTATGGGCAGTGTTAGTCTATGGGTAGTGTTAGTCTATGGGCAGTGTTAGTCTATGGGCAGTGTTAGTCTATGGGTAGTGTTAGTCTATGGGTAGTGTTAGTCTATGGGTAGTGTTAGTCTATGGGCAGTGTTAGTCTATGGGCAGTGTTAGTCTATGGGTAGTGTTAGTCTATGGGTAGTGTTAGTCTATGGGTAGTGTGAGTCTATGGGTAGTGTTAGTCTATGGGCAGTGTGAGTCTATGGGTAGTGTTAGTCTATGGGCAGTGTTAGTCTATGGGTAGTGTTAGTCTATGGGCAGTGTTGAGTCTATGGGCAGTGTTAGTCTATGGGTAGTGCTAGTCTAGGTACGTGAGTCTATGGGCAGTAGGTGTGTGAACTTCATTCGCACCGTACGTAGCCAAACCGTGCCAATCGGAGGTGCGGGGGGATGGATCGCCGCAGCTCGGGGGAGATGGATTCAACGAAAATCAGTCCACGTTGCATCTCAAGGATCGTGAGAGATGTGGGCCGCCTGCATCCAGCAGTAGATAAGATCACGGCTCGGCTACGACGGCGATCATGAATTCATGATCATGTTGAAGTGCACTCACTGATGCTACATTTCTTCAGTGTAGTCGATTTCTCGGAATCGAGTGCCACCAGCCCGGAATCGATTCCTCCGCACATCACTCTCGCAGAGAGATGCGGGGGGGGGGGGACACAGCGGAAAGGGAGTGTACCATTGCGAGCTAAACACGGGGAGGAGATTACACACGTCGGGTTGATAGAGGTGCCATCGGCTCAAGGATCCCCCCATGGGTGTAATGGTAAATCCCACACAGCCCATTGAGATTTGCCAGTGGACGTTGCGAGCACCTGTGTGCTCTGTGCATGTGGCCACGGGGTACAACAATAACGTAGTGACGACTACTTCACGATGTCCTGTACACTACTCAGGGCTATCGCTCTGCCATGGGGCTATCTTGGTCTCTCATATTTCTTAGGTTTTTTCGGTAAAGTTCACGTAGGTAAAACATTAAATTAATAATGTGTTACATACGTGACGTTACCGAAAAAACCTAGATATGAATCCTTGCAGTCACGAAAGCTTCAAGTCTAGATTATCTGGGTCTTCTTTAGCACGGAACTGCATTGATGCAGAGCAACAAACTGCAATTTCCACGTTTTTCAGTTTCATGTATTCGGTGTGTCCACTGAGGAGCCATTCGGCTCTTGAATCGGGTGCAACCGCAACAACAAAAACATGAAACACATTCCTGCGGAGGGGAGCTGGTAGGAAACTGCTCGGGTTGGCTCGGTCAATGGCCTGCAGGGTCAACGGCGGCGTATGGGGTGTATTCCCGCAAATATGGCCGACTGTGAGGGCGGGCACAGCCGGCGTGAGTAGGTGAAACGTTGGAGTTTTTATAAGGGCACCACGGGGTGACCAGCCCCTCAACATCCCTGCCCCACCCCTCCACCCCCCCCACCCAGCCCCACCCCACCCTCCCCTCTCCACCCAGCCCCTCCCCACCCAGCCACCTCCCCACCCCACCCCTCCCCACCCAGCCCCTCCCCACCCAGCCACTCCCCACTCTCCCCCCCCCCCAGCCCCACCCTCCCCACCCAGCCACTCCCCACCCCACCCTCCCCACCCAGCCCCTCCCCACCCAGCCACTCCCCACTCTCCCCTCCCCACCCAGCCCCTCCCACCCCAGCCCCTCCCCACCCAGCCACTCCCCACTCTCCCCTCCCCACCCAGCCCCACCCTCCCCACCCAGCCACTCCCCACCCCACCCTCCCCACCCAGACCCTCCCTGCACGACGGACGGACGGACACAATAATCCCCTGTGGGCTGGTGGAACTAGTGGGTGCTACCAGTATAAAGTTGTACAAAATCTTGCCTCGCACACCGGATTGTAAGACGCACCCCAATACAATTATACGAAAGTGACACTCGGCGCCTGGCGGGTGTGTGGAGATGGAACGGAAGTCGCGCGATGAACGGCTTGAGGCTTGAGCAGAGGTCGCAACCGGGTACCCGATACCCGTACCCTACCCGATACCCGGCTACCCGTACCCTACCCGATACCCGTACCCTATCCGATACCCGTACCCTACCCGATACCCGGCTACCCGTACCCCTACACGATACCCGTACCCTACCCGATACCCGTACCCTATCCGATACCCGGCTACCCGTATCCGGCCGGGTACGGGTAGCCGTTTGCGACCCTGGTGCGGCCGGGTACGGGTACAGGTATGCCGTGAGTCACTGGTGAGTCACCGTTTGTCACTCATTTCGGGTAGGGTACGGGTAGGGAACGGTTACCCGTACCCGGCCGGGTATTTGCGACCCTGGTGCGGCCGGGTACGGGTCCGGGTAAAGGAATCAAACCCCGTTTTGCGACTTTTGGGCTTGAGGGATGTAGAAACCAACTCATACTCTGGTGGTGGCATGGGTTGTGGGAGAGATGCCAAGTGCGGAGTTGGCCTGAATAGCTTGAAGCTAAATTGTCTTGTGGTTCGATTTAAAGCTTTCGTGACTGCAGGGATTCATATCTTGGTTCTTTCGTAAAGTCACGTAGAAAACGAAATAATAAAAATAAAAACTATAAATTATCACGTTTTTCGACTGCAACACAAGCAATCATCATCAGGTGTGAAAACCACAGCAATAAAAAAAAGTGGCGTTTTTTTAAATTTTCTTGCTGTGGTTTTCACACCTGGTGATATATAGCAAAGCGTCCCCTTATGGACTATTAAGTTAATACATTTTGTTATTTTTTTTATAAAAAAAAAAGATTGGAATCTTTAAATTGAGCGTTTTCCGATGGGTTCGTCTTTAAATGTAAGAAGAAGTTGAATTAAATCGTCAACGATTATTGTGGTGGTTTTTTTTTTGCGGAAAAAAACTAAATGTAGCGATGGTTGTTAAGTTGCCCTCAACGTAGATACAAATTGTAACAAAAAAAATCACATCAGGTTAATTATTATATTTCTTGAAAACGTTTGCCTGGCGAAGACAGCCCTTTATGAACTAGTGTTACTATATGTTGTTTTCCCTTTTTAATGCAACAACGAAGCTAATTGGGGAATGTGTAAATCTGATCTTAAAGGTGCATTGAGAAATGTTGATACTCCGACTGATGCTCCTGCTGTTGTGGAGTGACTCATGCAGACAGCTATGGCTGCAGAGTTTGGTGGTACATGTTGTTGACGTTGTTTATTGTGAACATTCGGTCACAGTTCCTATGGCCTGCACTGTTTCATTGCTTTTATGGCTTTATTTTGGTGATTTTCGAAAAGTTTTTTCTTTTGGCCATGTGTGTTTGTTGTAGTACAGAGTTAGACTGATGGCCTTAATCTAAGTTGTCTTGTGGTTGTTGTTGTTGTTTGACTTGCATCCCACTGGGATTTTTGCACACAGCGTTGGTGTACGGTGTTTTTTTCTGCAATATTTTGCTGTCTTTTCTTGGATTTTCTGTTTGCACTTAGTCACATATTCACTTTAAGATGTTTTCTTGTTCATGTTTTAGTTTTTTGTTTGTTGCGGTTGCACCCGATTCAAGAGCCGAATGGCTCACAGGGCCACACCTAATACATGAACTTGAACTTATTTATTAACATTAAAAATCGAGCACTTTGATCTGCATCAGCCACCGTAGTAGCCACGCGCGTGAGTTATAAATAGAACAGCGGGGTGAATCGATTCCATAGTTCAACATCCAAATCGATTTTCAATGTTAAACACGCGAATCGAAATGTAGGTGATTCTATTGTTTCCATTAATCGATTCCCGTCTTGGCGACACGCGTTCGCTGTGGGTCCTGCGGAACTCGCTCCACCGTAGATTCCACGCCCTCGTCATCGGGCCATGGTCAACCCACTGCTGGATGAAGTCGTCCTCACCACTCACCCCTCCACGTATATAATCCACATCCACCGCGAATCGATTCAGGAATCGGCGCGCGGCCACGGAGGAATCTAAACCAATGCACATCCATCCACGCCTGATTAAGTGTTATTCTTTAAGCAACTTTTAGTTCGATTTGTGATCGTCTCGTAGCAGCAGCTTTAGCTCAACGTTCGCCCGTCGTTAGAGCTGCTATGAATTCTACGGACAATCATCGGCGCGGAGTCGCTGTTGCCACCGGTAAAGTCTAACGCTATAATCCGGTGTGTGCGTCTTATAATCCGGTGTGTGAAGGTGCGTCTTATAATCCGGTGTGTGAAGGTGCGTCTTATAATCCGGTGTGTGAAGGTGCGTCTTATAATCCGGTGTGTGAAGGTGCGTCTTATAATCCGGTGTGTAAAGTGCGTCTTATAATCCGGTGTGTGTGAAGGTGCGTCTTATAATCCGGTGTGTGAAGTGCGTCTTATAATCCGCTGTGTGAAGGTGCGTCTTATAATCCGGTGTGTGTGAAGGTGCGTCTTATAATTCGGTGTGTCTGAAAGTGCGTCTTATAATCCGGTGTGTGAAGGTGCGTCTTGTAATCCGGTGTGCGTGAGGTGCGTCTTATAATCCGGTGTGTGAAGTGCGTCTTATAATCCGCTGTGTGAAGGTGCGTCTTATAATCCGGTGTGTGTGAAGGTGGGTCTTATAATCCGGTGTGTCTGAAAGTGCGTCTTATAATCCGGTGTGCGTAAGGTGCGTCTTATAATCCGGTGTGCGTGAGGTGCGTCTTATAATCCGGTGTGTGTGAGGATGCGTCTTATAATCCGGTGTGTGTGAGGATGCGTCTTATAATCCGGTGTGTGTGAAGGTGCGTCTTATAATCCGGTATGTCTGAAAGTGCGTCTTATAATCCGGTGTGTGAAGGTGCGTCTTATAATCCGGTGTGCGTGAAGGTGCGTCTTATAATCCGGTGTGTGTGAGGATGCGTCTTATAATCCGGTGTGTGTGAGGATGCGTCTTATAATCCGGTGTGTGTGAGGTGCGTCTTATAATCCGGTGTGTGTGTGCAACTTTACCGACACGGCACAAATATGACGCGCTTGGCACGCTGCACGCGCCTGATGATTGGTGAACACGTCCCCTCATCATCACGGTGGCTAGGAGATGTTGACTACCTCGCATGGTACACAGGAGGTCGTGGGTTCAATCTTGGCTCTGACAACTGCTGCTGCTGTATATTTGGAGTCTGCGTGTCTCTCACTCTCATCATCACGGTGGCGAGGAGATGTTGACTACCTCGCCTGGTATACAGGAGGTCCTGGGTTCAACCCTGGCTCTGACAACTGCTGCTGCTGTATATTTGGAGTCTGCGTGTCTCTCTGCCCGTGATTTTTCTCCGGGTCCTCCGGTTTTTCCCCCTCCACTTTTAGAATCAACGTCACGCTTTTAGAGCATTTAGCGTCGACGCATTTCCACATGACGATAAGCCGCCACTTAGTTGAGCAATCAGACGTGGCCAGGCTGCTTCCGAACAAGAGCTCCATATAGCTCAGCGGGCGCTTAACCGGTAAAATGAAGAAATAAAGAAGTTTATGATCTTAAAATGGAAAAGTAAAAATAGGCGACGTTTCGCTAATAGCTCGAGAGGGGTCAGAGAGATGGAGTGGAGAGATCTAATTCTAGATTTGAAGCTTTCGTGACTGCAAGGATTCATATTCTTAGGTTTTTTCCAGTAAAGTCACGTAGGTGAAAAATTTAAATTACAGCTATCGTGCTGTGACGGTTCCACCAGAAAGTCAAAGCTTGTGTTGCCTCCGAAACGTCGTGATTTTTATTTTACTTTTATTAATTTTTATTTTTTTACCTACGTGACTTTACCGAAAAAACCTAAGAATATGGAGAGATCTAAATTGAGTTGTGTCGCCTGTACGTTTTTGAACTCTCACCCACCGTCAACCCTCCTCCGTGTCGCCAGCATTGGGGACCTCCAAGTGGGACATCCGCCAGACGGTGTGGGACTACATGGAGCTTCACGACCTGGCGAACTTCCCCAGGCCCGTGCACCACAGAATTCCAAACTTCAAGGTGCGTCATGGGACCTCCTCTGCCAGTACCAAAATATGAGAATAGGTTTTCCCCTTTTTTCTGGCAACAAAACAGCTAGATTTGAAGCTTTCGTGACTGCAAGGATTCATATTCTTAGGTTTTTTCGGTAAAGTCACGTTGGTAAAAAAAAATAATAAACATAAAATAAAAATCACGACGCTTCGGAGGCAACACAAGCTTCCTTCTTCAGGTGGAACCGTCACAGCACGATATCTGTATCAAGTGTGATAGCTGTATCAAGTGTGATACAGCTATCGTGCTGTGACGGTTCCACCTGAAGACGGAAGCTTGTGTTGCCTCCGAAACGTCGTGATTTTTATTTTATTTTTATTTTACTTTTCTTATTTTAATTTTTTTACCTATGTAACTTTACCGAAAAAACCTAAGAATAACAAAACAGCTGTGTTAAGATGTTAAAACACCAAACTGAAACATTTTACAAGGAATCATGTCTGCGTTAACCACAATACTTGTGGTCAGAATGCAAACAAAAAACACACTATGATAATATTTGCATTGTCTTTGAAACGGATTGGTCCACACCAGAGACAGCTTTCTTTTGAGCCTCGTCTCAAACGGTGTTAGACCAGAGGACACTGCCCATAGACTAACACTGCCCATAGACTCAACACTACCCATAGACTCACACTACCCATAGACTCAACACTGCCCATAGATTCAACACTACCCATAGACTCAACACTGTCCATAGACTCAACACTGCCCATAGACTCAACACTGCACCATAGACTCAATACTGCCCATAGACTCACACTACCCATAGACTCAACACTACCCATAGACTCACACTACCCATAGACTCAACACTACCCATAGACTCAACACTACCCATACATACGTAATGTTTCACTCTAAAGTTGATAACCGGCTGTTGTTTTGCTGCCTTGCCCAAGCTTGGGAATTGGTGTACTTATAACATTTGAACTTTCTACTTTATCAATTCTACGTATTTATTTATAGTGATTTGCTTAACTTTCATAAACTATCATTTTTCGTGCCCCTTACTGGACTTCCGTCAACAAAGAGCTTCATGGCTCATCGGATTCCTCCAGGATAAATAAACATTCCGATCGCATTCGCGACACCTCCGTGGACACGCCACGTGATGTCTCTGGCCGATGTCTCCCCGGCTCTAACGAGCCAACGACGGCGGCCGCACCGCCCGCTGGTGACCTCTCGTGCCAGGGGTCGACCGGCGCCTCGGCGCGTCTCGGCCTCCTCCCGCAGTTTTCCACGGCGACCACCGTGAAGGTGAACCCGGACAAGCCGCAGGAGGGCGCGCGCTACCTCGCCCTGGAAGTGAGTGCGAAGAACGTCTCGCGTCTCTGTCGTCCCCACCAACCCCACTAACTACCCACCAACCCCACCGCCCACCTCGCCCACCGCCCCCCCACTATCCCTCTCACGGCGCAGGGTTCGTATCGCGCCGCGGGGAGGATCGGAGACCTCGCAGCTTTCGCAGCGACCAGCGCCGTTAAGGTGGACCCCGATAAGCCGCTAGAGGGCGTCCGACTCGCCGCCCTGGAGGTAACGCAGCGACCCACACTGGGGGTGGACAACTCGGTGTAGAGGGAGCGCCGCGGTGGCTAGGAGATGTTGACTACCTCGCCTGGTGTGCAGGAGGTCGTGGGTTCGATCCCGACCCTGACGCCTGCTGCTGTATATTTGGAGTCTGCGTGTCTCTCTAATCATCATCATCACGGTGGCTAGGAGATGTTGACTACCTCGCCTGGTATGCAGGAGCTTGTGGGTTCGATCCCGACCCTGACGCCTGCTGCTGCTGTGTATTTTGAGTTTGCGTGTTCTCCGGGTCCTCCGGGTTTTCCCTCCACATTTATAAAACACGCGTTTAGAGTATTTGGCTGCTATAAATGTCCACATGATGATGAGCCACTTCGTTGAGCTGTCATTTGCGGCCAGGTCACTTCTGAAAAAGAGATACGGAGCTCAGTTGGCCTCACCTGGTAAAATAAAATAAATAAATAACAAATTAAACTCGATACTCGTTCTGCCTTCTTCCCTCCGCCTCTCCCCAGGCACGGAAGACCCTGCTGGTTCCCACGCCGAGACTCCGATCCGGGCTGTTCAACCGGATCGTTCCGCCCGCCGGTGCCTCCAAGGCCGACCTGCACCGGTGTGCCACCTCGCAGGCACGGAGCCGGCGCTTGCACACTGATCAACCAGGCAACAGCAGGCAGCAGCAGGCAACAGCAGCAGGCAGCAGCAGCAGGCAGCAGCAGGCAACAGCAGCAGGCAGCAGGCAGCAGGCAACAGCAGGCAGCAGCAGGCAACAGCAGGCAACAGCAGCAGCAGGCAGCAGTAGCAGACAGCAGCAGCAGGCAGCAGCAGCAGGCAACAGCAGCAGCAGGCAGCAGCAGCAGCAGGCAGCAGCATGATTTAAAAGTGCATAGCTCAGGTGGCGTCCTTAATATCGGATGGAAGAGCGCCTTCCAGACGGCCGCAGAAGCGCACCTGAAAGCGCCGCGCGACGATGCGGCGACCACCGTCTTTGTTCGACGGCTGAGCCCAAAAGCCGCCGCCGCTGCTGCTGGGAAAAGATGACGACCGGAGTTTGTGTTGCGGTGGTTTGCACGAGTACGCCCCTCCTCTCCTTCCACGGTGCCCTGACCCTGACCCTTTGCCCCCCGCTCCCGCCTGCGACCTGCGACCCCTGGCAGGGCGTGCGCGAGTTCAGCGTGCCGCTCGCGCTGGACGCCGGCGTGCGCGTCGACCTCGTGGTGGTCGGCTCCGTCGCCGTGTCCGAGAGAGGTAAGAGCCGGGCTCGTACCAGAGGTCGTAACTGGGTACCCGATACCCGTACCCTACCCGATACCCGGCTACCCGTACCCTTCTGGGTACGGGTACCCGTTTGCGACCCTGGTGCGGCCGGGTACGGGTACGGGTAGGCCATGAGTCACGGGTAGGGTACGGGTACGGGTAGGGAACGAGTACCCGTACCCGGCCGGGTACGGGTACGGGTACCCTTTTGCGACCCTGGTGTGGCCGGGTACGGGTACGGGTAAGGAATCAAACCCCGTTTGCGACCTCTGGCTCGTACCTCGCACGCCCCGCAGGCAGCAGCGGACTGCGTCTCGATCCGCTGCTGGGTGGGAGCGGCTCGCAGGGAGTTTTGTACGTTTTTCACAATTGGTTCGTATCCTGGTTTGGCAGTCGATTCGGACCAACTTCTCTCCGGCGTCGATAAAAATGAGCGCCACTTAGTAGGGAAGTCAGCGGTGGTTGTCACGATTCCGGGGTCACGGCTGGTCAGTCCGAGGACCGATTGCCCTTGACGTATTCTGCAGACTTTTTGCGTTTAGTTCCTAGAGTCACACAGCTGTACGGGGTCGTCTTCCACCGGCAGCCGATTGGCCGCCGTCAGAGTGATGACGTCGCCCCTAGCAACCGTAGGCCTCGTGGTCTCCTTCTGTTCGTGGCCCCCCACCCCCAAGTACAGAAGTTCCCCGTAAAATGCGGAAAGCTGTGATTGTAGCAAGATCCGAAATGACGCGAGAGAGAGAGAACGGAGAGGATGTCAAGGGTGTCCTCCTGGGTCGTCGGCAAACACAGCGGTTGCTAGGGGCGACGTCATCACTCCCACGGGCGGCCAATCGGCTGCCAGGGAGACGACCCCATACGGCTGCGTGAATCTAGAATCGACTGCGAACTCCACCGAGTCTGTAGAGTACGCGAAGGGCAATCGGTTCCGGTCCGCCGCGTGTGCCCGCAGGATGGCGCATCGGGAAGGGCGAGGGCTTTGCGGACATGGAGTTCGCCATGATGGCGTGCACAGGCGCTGTGGATGACGCCACGGTGGTGGTAACCTGCGTTCACGACTGCCAGGTCCTACACGCGCACACGCACACACGCACGCGTGAACGCACACGTATACATCTTGGGAAGCCACAGGAGCTGTGCACTTTTAAATCTAAATTTGAGAACTCGTTTCTTTAGAACCGATTTTTGTGTTTAGTGTTTGTTGTTCCTTTCCCCCGCACATCCGATTGGCACGGTTGGCTACGTACGGTGCGAAAGAAGTTAAATATACAGACTGCACACAGACTAACACTGTCCATAGACTCAACACTGCACCTCCCATCAGAAAGATTGGCTACGTACGGTGCGAAAGCAGTTCAACATATACACAACAAGATCCCTCAATTAGTAGTCAAAACAGATATTTCGGGGCCAGTTCTGTTTGCGATCAGCAATGAAGGCCGGCACGGCACACGAGGCAAACTCCAGCTCTGGGAGTGAAAGTCTGTTGAGCATTCGTGCGGTGAATGTTACTCTGCAGCAGGGCGGGTAGGGAAGTGCATCTCCTCTAGCAGTGGAACTTGAAACAACCTCAGAAGCGTAGGTCGCAGACGAGTTTTGATTCCTTACCCGTACCCGTACCCTACCCGTTACCCGGACGGGTAGGGTACGGGTATCGGGTACCTGATTGCGACCTCTGGGATGAAGCCATGTTGCAGGCGCGGGTGGGTTGATTCTAGGAACTTGAATTGTGAGAAGAGACAAGACGTTGGGAAATAAGTGACAAACAGTTACTCGCCAGTGACTCACGGCCTACCCGTACCCGTACCCGGCCGCACCAGGGTCGCAAACGGGTACCCATACCCGTACCCGGCCGGGTACGGGTAGTTGGGTATCGGGTAGGGTACGGGTATCGGGTACCCGGTTGTGACCTCTGCTCAGAAGTAGCTCCGCAGACCATTCTCGGTCACACGTAAGGGCCGCAGCAGAATTCCATCTCGTGGCGTGACGTACGATCGGAATAATCCCGGGGGTGGCGGGGACTGGGTAACATTTCCATCGCCGTCGGTGACGCAGGTGGTGGACATCCCGGAGGAGCTGGTGGAAACTCATGACCTGACGGTTGACTACATCCTCACCCCGACGCGCGTCATCAAAACCAACTGCAGCGCGCCCAAGCCTCGTGCAATCATCTGGTCCAAGGTCAGCCGACAACTTCTTTCTATTTGTGTCGATGTGGTTTAAGGGTGGCGAGATGTTAACTATCTCGCCTGGTACGTGGGAGGTCGTGGGTTCCATCCCGACCTTGACGCCTGTTGCTGTATATTTGGAGCCTGCGCCTCTCATCACCATCACGGTGGCGAGGAGATGTTGACTACCTCGCCTGGTATACAGGCGACCACGGGGAGACAGAGAGAGAGACGCACACTCCAAATATACAGCAGCAGGCGTCAGAGTCGAGATCGAACGCACGACCCCCTGCGTACCAAACGAGGTAGTGAATGTCCCGCCACCGTGGCTTGTGTCGATCCTCTCAATGTTGCGAAGATCGACCGCGAGCTTCTGGCCCGGATCCCCATCCTGAACACTCTGCGGGCCCGGGAAGAGAGGCTGGGCCGGGACGTGTCGCTGAGGGACGCTCCCAGCCTTCACCGCACCGCAGCCTCTGCCGGATCTCCGGACGATCCTTCCGCTTCTCTCCACCGAGAAACCGTCGGCGTCGGCTCTGCCGGGACAGCGGCAGCGACCCGCGTGCGCCGGGCCGGTTCCGTTTCGGCAAGGGGGCGGCGTGGGGACGGGAGACACCACCGGGGAAGAGGAGGAGGATGGGCGAGGCAGCCGATTGGTGGAGGAGGAAGTGGTTGCGCCGTGCCGGATCTGGCGAGGGGCCGGGGTGGTGGTGGGGGCGACGGAATGTAACCTTCCGGTAACCTCGGGGCTTTAATTTCTCACCCACAATGTTCGGCGTCGCTGGTAGACTAGAGTCGGTGTTGCCGTGACTCGTCGTGCTGCAGCCCACCGCGGGAGGTGTATACTTGACGTGGTGTTCCGGGCGTGGAAATGACCCGGCCAGATCCGGCTGAAGCGAAGCCCTGATGAACCGGATCCTGAAAGCAGCGATCAGCAACGAGTGGATGATGATGACGATGGTGGGGGGGGGGGGGGGGGTTTTCACCATTTGTGAATTGTCGGGGCGGGGGCCGCACGTCAGGGGCCGCACTAAAGGCCACCAGGAGCTGCCGCCAGTGGCCCGCGGGCCTTGTGCCTCGTGGTCTCACGATGCATCCCACCCCTGCACACTCAACCGATGTCATTGTCTACAACATCACGCACGCACGTGTGCTTACATACACACTGCACTTGTAAAGCATTCTGGGTAATAAAATATGGCTAACGTCAGTGGCGAGTTGATGTCTGATCTGGTCCTCCTTATAACGTATGCTACAGGCCCCGCACCGGCACTGCCTGGATGACTGTGGAGGCCTTTGGCAATCTCTTGACAAGGGACGATATATTATTAATATTCAGATAATAACACTGCTGCGTACAGCACGTGAAGTGTGTTCAAAGCCGGTCTGTGCGTGGTTCCCTTCGTACAGAAATAAAACTTTGGTTTCCGATTTTTATTGCCAAATTATCCTTTTCGTTGTTGTCGATGTTGTCGATGTTGTTGTCGTCGATGTTGTCAACACGTCCCCATGTCCGGCGCAACTCGTGGGGCAAATCGCCAAGCCGACCATCCGTGTTTTAGGCCCCTTTAGTGAAAATGCGAAGTGTGGCTCTTCCTGAACCCTCACCCGGTCCGAGACGTCTGCAAGTGGCGGGCGGGTGCTGTGTCCCCGTTCATCGCCGGAGCGTGCGAGCGACTCGGCGTAAATTTTATTTAGAGAGGCGCAGTAAACGCCACCGTCGTTTTTAACGGCGTCGTTACTCACCGCAGAGAACTGTCGCGACACGACCGCCTCCACTCTCCCAGAGCTGGGGCCAAACTGTGGCACGTGCAGCCCTCCCGGGTGGCCTTGTGGGAGCCTCGCTACCGATACAGTTATTTTATCTTTCGATTTAAAGCTTTCGTGACTGCAGGGATTTATCTTCTTGGTTCTTTCGGTAAAGTCACGTAGAAGGAAAATAATAAAATAATAAAAATAAAACATAATAAAATTATTCTCACGATGACGGCTGCTTGCGTTGTTTTATTATTTTCCTTCTACGTTATTTTATCTTCTTGGTTCTTTCGGTAAAGTCGCGTAGAAGGGAAATAATAAAATAATGAGAATTATTTTGTTATGTTTTATTTTTATTATTTTATTATTTCCCTTCTACGTGACTTTACCGAAAGAACCAAGAAGATGAATCCCTGCAGTCACGAAAGCTTTAAATCGAAATTTAAAGTTATTTTATTTACGTGTACGTCATCGGAATGGAACCAGAAGAAAAACTGATGGACGCGTACGTCATGGGAACGTAGCCAACCTTACTGATTGGAGGTTCGGGGGAAGGACAAACTAAAGGCAAAAAAGCAGTTCTGAATAAATGAGTTGATCAAATGGTGCCCACCGGTAAGTGTGAGAGATTGTGGCAGGGCATTGAGAAGTGGTGCAGTCGGATCTGCTGTGGTGGTACAGGTCAGTTCAGGGAGTCTGAGCGAAGTGGGCAAATACCGATTTTGTTTCGTGCTGGGCGAAGGGCTTCCATTTTCTTCTATTCCTTAAGTATTCTCCAGTAGGGTGCCGTAGTGGCGAGATGTTAACGACCTCGCCTGGTATGCAGGAGGTCGTGGGTTCAATCCCGGGTCTGACGCCAGCTGCTGTGTATTGGGAGTTTGCGTGTCTCTCTCCCTGTGGTCACGTGGATTTTTCTCAGGGTCCTCCGGTTTTTCCCTCCACATTTACAAACATGCATGTGCAGTATTTGGCTGCTATACTTTTGCACACGATAAGCCACTTCACTGGACGATCATTTGTGGTAGACAGGTCGCTTCAAAAAAAAAGCTTTTTAGCTCATATTCTTAGGTTTTTTTCGGTAAAGTCACGTAGGTAAAACATTAAAATTAGTAAAATAAAATAAAAATCACGACGTTTTTAGCTCAGTTGGGGAGGGCCTTACCTGTTAAAATAAATAACACCAAACGTATAAAAAGTTAACGTTGGACTCGAATTGTAAACGTGAGTTTATTCTCCAACACGCCGGTGTGCTGAATTAGTAACGATTTGGCATGTTCCGTTTCCGTGACACAATTTATGCGATCTAAGCTCAAAATAAACCCTCATGTATCAGAAAAAAAAATCCTTCCCATACCGGGAATTGAACCCGGGCCGCCTGGGTGAAAACCAGGAATCCTAACCACTAGACCATATGGGAGCCCTGCTCACGAAAGCGTCGCGTTTCATACTTAATGTCACAACCGGCTGAGCCGGCGGCTTAATTTGTTTATTCACGACATGCTCTTAGCATTAAGAGACGCCTGCAAAGCTGATAGCCTACGGATTTCCCATATGGTCTAGTGGTTAGGATTCCTGGTTTTCACCCAGGCGGCCCGGGTTCAATTCCCGGTATGGGAATGATTATTTTTACTCGGTAATTTTGTTTAAACATTTTTTTTTTAAACCAATGGATTCTACTGCGCCACGTGTGTTAAGGGGAAATGTGTGGCATACGCCAGCCAACGTGTTACAGTTGTTCAGTGTGTACAGTCCATGTAACGATCATCATCTTGAACCGGAATATATTGATTTTGTGACGTTATTATCCCGTGGCCCGACTGGAAATCTGTGCGAAAGAGTTTTAGAGATTATCGGATTCCTCCTGCAGTATCAATACAAATTCTAGCCCCTTTTTTTCTTCTTGGTTCTTTCGGTAAAGTCACGTAGAAGGGAAGTAATAAAATAATAAAAATAAAACATAAAAAATAATGATTTTATTATAAAAGAATTTTTTTATTTTAATAAAATAATAAATATAAAACATAATGAAATAAATATTTTATTATGCTTTATTTTTATTATTTAAATAAAATAAATATTTTATTATGTTTTATTTTTATTATTTTAATAAAATAAATATTTTATTATGCTTTATTTTTATTATTTTATTAAAATAAATATTTTATTATGTTTTATTTTTATTATTTTATTACTTCCCTTCCACGTGACTTTACCGAAAGAACCAAGAAGATGAATCCCTGCAGTCACGAAAGCTTTAAATCGAAATCTAGCCCCTGTTGTCAAACCCACTGCTGGATGGAGGCCTCCCCAAGCTCTGCAGGGTCATGGGGGTTGCTAGACCATGCTTCACCACGCTGGTCAGTGCGGATTAGTGAATGGGGGAAGGACACGGGGGGGGGGGGAGGGTTATACATTTAAAACTAATTTCTTGAGAACCGATTTTTGTGTTCAGTTTTTTGCCATTCCCCCGCTCCTCCGATTGGCTTCGTACGGTGCTAAAGAAGTTCAACATCGTACGCCGAGTTGTCAACTGCTCATCAGTGCCCTTACCTTGTTACACACCAACTATACACTACACTACTATACACTACACACTATACTACTATACACTACTATACACTACACTACTATACACGACACTACTATACACTACACACTACACTCCTATAGACTATATATACACTATACACTACACTACTATACACTACACACTACACTACTATACACTACTATACACTACACTACTATACACTACACACTACACTACTATACTACTATACACTACTATACACTACACTATACACTACTACATAGCTGTGTAACCCCTTATCAGTGCCCTACCTTGTTACACACCAACTCAGACCTTATCGGTCACCCCGTGCCCCTTATACATCTCAACGTGCAGCGTTGTCACTTTAAGATGTTTTCTTGTTCATGTTTTTGTTTGTTGCGGTTGCACCCGAGTCAAGAGCCGAATGGCTCACAGGGCTACACCTAATACATGAAAACTGAAACTTTCGGCGCTTCGCTCTTTCGGCCGTTCTCAACCCCAACCACATTTCAAATTTCGTCCACGCGGCTCTTACTCTTTCGTCCGATTTCATCCCCAAACCTTCCACGACGTTCGCGCCACGCGGCGTCTTATTCGTTCAGTCTTTGAACAGAAGTCATTCAGTGAGCAGCATCTCTTATATTTGTGTTTATTCAGATGTTATTCATACTGTATTTATCACCAATATATTCATCGTCCACTTACACAAAAAAAATATTTAAAGGTATAATTGTTTATTTTTTTTATTTTTGTTTATAAATTTGTATTCTTGTTTATTTTCTTTTATGTTTATTTAGGTTTCGCACGCATGTGTTATTTAGCTACTGTAGTTATTTGCATGTACGTTTTTATATTTACTGTAAATATTTGCATGCAAGTTTGTATATTTACTGTAGTTATTTGCAATGCACGTTTTTCGCCGGCCAAAACAAACTTGCGAGCTCAATCAAAGGCTCCGCTTTGACAATTCGTCCATGCTCTGGTCCCGAACCCGACGAGAGTGCGAGAGGTGTTCCTGTAAATACTTCTCGGCAGGCCGCCTCCGACTGCCTTGAATCACTGCAGCAGTGGCGGCTCCTGCAAAATCTCTCAGGGGGGGCAAATGTCTGGATGATTGATAAGGATAAGGTCCACCCATGCAATGGATAAATTAACAGCTTAAGCATGTAAAGGCAACTTCACTTCTTTAATATTAATGAAAAATAAAGTGACTCTTACAATACATCTTGTTTGTTTCTATACTCACTATTATTACAATCCACTCAGTTTATTTTATTAAAGATTACACTAGGTGGCGACAAATAATATTGTTGACTGAAACGTGCTTACGTATGATGACGTAAGCACGTTAGTGCGAGCCCTCCCGGAAGCCATAGAGAATGCATTGGAGCACCCGCCGTTCGAAAAAAAAACATCTTTGAATGTAAGTCTATGGGAACACTCGGGGTGATTCTCAGCCAGAGTGAAATCGCCCAAAAAGAGGCGGTACTCCACAGAACGTGACATGACGCTGATTGGACTATATCCAGAGGCACAGTGACGGCTAGCGTAACTCTGTGGTTGAATGACATTGGTGGTGCGTCGCCCAATCGCCCTAATGAAGAAACCGCCCCTGCACTGGAGCCTCAATCCCACTTCAGGGCTCGTTCCGCTGTGCGTGGCCAAGTAAACCGTTGCGTTACGTCACAATGCCCGTGAATGCGTAGATAGTATGTACACACGTTACGTCACAGTGCACGCGAACACACACGTACACACGTTACGTCACAATGCACGTGAACACACACGTACACACGTTACGTCACAATGCACGTGAACACACACGTACACACATTACGTCACGAAGCGTCAGTCCGCAAAGCGACGCACGCGGCCCCTGAGACGTGCATTTGGCGACCCCCTGCGCCAGCCCGAGGCTCGGGATAAGGGACGCGAGGGAGACGTTGAGAAGCTTGCACGGACGCTCGCGGTCAAGTGTGGAGCGGGGGACGACTTTTACCGGACACCGGGTGACGAGGATCACGATGGTGACATGACGAGGGCAGACAGGAGACGGGCCGGCGGACAGGAGAAGGGCCGGTCTTCTCCTGTCCGCCACCCGGTGTCCGGTAAAAGTCGTCCCCTGATCCACACGCTCGAACG